CTTTTGCAAGAACTTTCACCATGACATATGATATGTTGATCATTTTTTTGTGATCTGCAACAGTGTCCACTATGCTAGTCATAACAATTTCATGTTATAACGATCTTTAGTTACTAAAAAATTTTGGTTGCAAAATTAATCATTTTTTCGTTTTGTTGTGAATTCTGGAATGGTAGACATTGAATTGTCAAAAATTACATCAAATTTCTATTTGAATGGAGTATATGCTTCAAGAACTCAATTCCACTTGTAAAATGCCTTTTCGTTGATTGTTCACAAAATGCAAGGTTTGACTCTACCATCTCCAATGAAATTATTTGGAACATTTGTCCAAGAGGCACACCTACTTGGAGTGACATATACTCGCTCAGGAGAAAATATCCGAGAGTCTAAAGCAATTGAAGTGTAAGGATGACTTTATTACTGACAAATTCATACTCAAAGAATATAGGTTAGAAGAAAAGGCTTCCATTCCTTTATAAATAAATATACAAATAAAAAAAATAAATTTTGACATAGAAATTAAAAAAACTCCTTTTTTTTTTTTAATTAGTTAAAAAGTGAACAAAGCTACTTGTCATAAAGCATTCCTCAAGTCAATATAGAAATTTTCATCCAAATAAATCTGTATCAATGAATTTTTACAACATCATAATTTTGCAAAATAAAATTATAAAGAAAAAACCTGCCAAAGTTCCAAGTATTTATTTATCTGATTTTTCCTGCCAATTTCATGAATCATGTAATACATGTATTTTATAACTTCCATAAACCTATTAAAACATGATGAAGTTTATAATGCTGTTTTCGAATCATAACTAGATTTTTAGGTTTTATTTTTCTTAATTATCAATATCTAAACTAATTAACTAGCTAGTTCTTTTCTTTCTAATACTTAAAAGAGTTAAGTAATAATTTATGTTACTGTAAAATATGGTATTAATATATTAATATATATATTAATATGGGAACAATTTTCTAAGTGCCATTAACATTAATGATGTCTGCTACCTTCTATTAAATAATTTCTTAATGATACATACCACGGAATGTAGTTAGAAATTTTTATTTATAATATTTGTTGAAAAATTTTTTATGCGAAAAATGGACATACTTTTTCATTCTTGTCAAAACATGTGATAGGATGTCAAGAGAAGCCGGTAAAAAATTGATGTTAAAGAGAAGTGATATCATCATCAGGGAAAAGTAAACAGTTTTGCAAAGTCTAAAAAATGGATATGAATTTAAGCTTTAGGAAAAAAAAAACTGGAAATGAGTATTTCATATCTTAAACTTTTATTTTTATTTTTGAGTTATAAAACACGTTGTTGGTATGTGATCACATGATTTGTGGAGATAATGATTCAGCATGAAATACGACTTTCTATCAAATAATGAATGAATGATTGTGAATGATTGTAATAATAAAATAAAGTGAATCATGTTTAGAGATACAAAATCATATTGGGAGTAAAGAGTATGTCAAATAATTGTCAACCAAAAGAAACCACAATATTAAAAGGATTTGCAGCTTAAATAATAAAATTTATTAAACAAAAAAAAATAATAACAAATATTAAAAAAAAAAATTACATAAATATAATTTTTTTTGATTGCTTTTCTTTTATCATTACAATTAATATCAACACCATCACTACTAATAACATCATCACTGGCATCATTTTTCATTTCATATGCACTGGCATAAATTATATTCAATTGATAGTTGAATTTTTTTATTTGAACCATCATCATCCATTGATATAGTAGCCAATTTATTATTAGCCTGCTCAATTAATTTACTAAGTGGGCGACTTGTATAGAATACATCTACATGGTGTTTATAATTTTTTGCTCCTGAAAGGTATTTTTCTGATTTAATTATCTCTTGGTGTTTGATTCTGCTAAATTAGCTTCAGAAGAATCTGAATAATGAAGTTCATCAGCAGTTGGTCTATTTACTGGATTTGGATCCCATCATTTTTTCATCAATTCAGCATAGAATTCAGGAGTGTATTTGGTGATTGTAGGTCTAAAATATCCATTTAAAAAGGTTTTTTACCTGTGGTATATTCCCACATAATTATTCCAAAACTATAAATGTCTGATTCTTTTGTATATTGTTTACCTGATCATACTTCAGGTGCTAGGTATGGAATGACCCCAAATATCTCATTTGGATTCTCATTTTTATTCATTAATTGTTGACATAATCCTAAATCTCCTATTCTGATAACATATGGATTGTATGAAAAAATATTACTACTGTGCAAGTCATGATGAATATAATTATTGTAATGAATTTCCCCTAATCTAATTCATTTTAATAATAAAATGTATAAAGTTAATTTTATAAAAAGAAAATTTAATTTAATAATAAATTTAAAACTTTCCCTCAAAATATAATAAAGTGAATCAATTTATTTATCAAAGTAATTTCCTTGAAATTCTTTGATAAATGATTATGTAAATCTCCATTTCCAGCATATTCAAAAATACCAACATATATTCATTTGTACTTGGGTCTTTTGTAATTCCAAAGCATTTATTGACACAAGTACCCATTTTACTATTTGCTTCTAACTAAAAATTATCAATAATTATAAATATAATTAATATTAACAACATTATATAACAATAATTAATATTACCTCTTTTAAAATATCCACAATTTTATTACTTGAGTTATATAATCTTTTTAACACCACATTTGTTTTGGATTTATCATTAAAAAACAAGTAATAATTAATCCAAATTGCTTTATGAATTTCACTAAAACCACCTTTAGCCAAATGTTCAATCTTTTCAAATTCATTAAAAGGAATCCATTCAATATAACTATCATCATATCTATTTATTTTACGTTCATATAGAAACTTGGCTATTTCACTATTTCCACAATCAGCCTCTAAGTTTTTAATTTTCTTTTTTTTTACAATCATTACATATATTCAACCTAATATCTATGTCAATTAAATTTTGATGTGGTTTTCCAATCAATATTTTACTTTCTTCTTTCTCATCTTCTTTTAATCTATTTAAAAGTTTATTTAATGCATCAATTGATTCATTCAAATACTTCATAAGATCATCATCATATTTTATCATTTCTTTCTTACAATCAATACAATTTTCTATTAATTTTAATGTTCCATGTAATTAACACAAAGAAGAAATTTTCTATTTGCCGTGCCACCATCTCCTTCCGAAATTCGCAAAGTTCATAATTTTCGTGCAGGTTTTTCTCCAATTATCTCTTTTTATGTTTAGCTGTGCTTGTTTTTTTCGGTTTTTGGCGCGATCAACATTTTCGCCATATTTAG